ACACCTGTTAGAATAACTATTATCATAAAGACAAAAGATAACAGTATTGGCAAGGATGGGGAGAAAAAAGAACCCATGCATACTATTGGTGGAAGTGTACAGCCATTATGGAAAACAGTATGGAGATGAATCAAAAAATTAAAAATACAACTATAGGACAATCCACTTCTCAGTATATACCCAAAAGAAATGAAATCAGTACTGAAAACATACATCAAAGAGAKAATTACACTCCCATCTTTACTATAGCATTATTTATAATACTCAAGACATGGAAACAACCTAAGGGTCTATCACTGAAGGGATGGATGTTTTTTTTAAATGTGGTGCATATTTATATGATGAAATATTATTCAACCTTTAAAAAAAATCCTGTCATTTGAACAACATATGTAAACCTAGAGGACATTACACTAAGTGAAAAAAGCTGGGTACAGAAAGATAAATACTATATGATCTCACTTATATGTGGATTCTTTAAAAAAAAAAAATCAACTCACAGAAGCAGAGAATAAAATAGTAGTCACCAGGGGCTGAGAGTGGGAAGGGGAATGAGAAAAGCTGGTCAAAGGGTCTGAAGTTTCAGTAAGGAAAAATTAGTCCTAGAGATCTACTATATAGCATGGTGACTATAATTAACAATAATTTATGTAAAATTAGCAAGAGAACAGATTTTCAGTGTTCTTATCAGACAAAAATAAGTATGTAACGTAATGGATATTTTAATTAATTTGGTTTAATCAATCCATAATTTTTTTTTAATCAAAAGAATATACTGTACTGGGGAAGCTAAGGCAAGAGGATTTTTTTTTTTTTTTTTTGGTAGCGGGTACTGAGGATTGAACTCAGGGGCACTTGACCACTGGGCCACACACCCAGCCCTATTTTGTATTTTATTTGGAGACAGGGTTTCACTGAATTGCTTAGGGCCTTGCTTTTGCTGAGACTGGCCCTGAACTTCTGATCCTCCTGTCTCAGTCTTCCTAGCCACTAGGATTACATGCGTGCGCCACCATGCGTAGCCTGGCAAGAGGATCGTGAAGTTGAAACTAGCCTGGGCAACATAGTAAGACCCCATGTTTTTTAAAAAAAAAAAAAAAATGTCTATCATAAATATATATAATTTTTCATTTGTCAATTTAATAAATAAATAATRATTAATTTAAAAGAAAATAGTATGGCTTGCCCTAAAATATTTAAAAACAGAAATAGAATATGATCCAACAATCTTACTTCTGGGTATTTATACAAAAGAATTGAAATCTAGATATCCAATAATTCACCAGAGCCAAGATGTGGAAACAATCTAAATACCCATAGATGGAAAAGGGGATAAAGACAACATGGTACATATATATAATTCAGTCTTAGAAAAGAGTTTTTTATGACAACATGGATAAACCTTGAGGGAATTATGCTAAGTGAAATATGGCATACACAGTAAACAAATATTGCATGGCATCACCTTTATGAGGTATATAAATTAGTCAAACACTGAAGCAAAAGAATAGAGTGGTGTTTGCCATGGGCTAGGAGAAGAGGTTAATGAAAAGTTGCTATTCCACTGACATAAAGTTTCAGTTATGCAAGATAATAAAGTTTTGGAGTTTTGCTGTGAAACCCTGTACCTATAGTTAACAATGCTGTATAGCACACTTTAAAAAAATTCTACTAAGAGGCAACGGGGCTCGATCCTCAGCGGTAGAGCACTCGCCTGGCACACGCAAGGCCCTGGGTTCAATCCTCAGCACCACATAAAAATAAATAAAGGTATTATGTCCAACTATAACTTTAATATATATATATATATATATATATATATATATTTTTTTTTTTTTTTTTTTTTTTTTTTTTTTTTGCTAAGAGGTCCAATGCAGTGGTACTTGCCTATAATCCCAGAAACTTCAGAAGCTAGGGCAGGAAGAACAGAAATTCAAAGCCAGCCTGAACAACTTAGTGAGATCCTGTCTCAAAGTAAAAAATAAAAAGGTTAGGGATGGAGCTCAGTGGTGAAGTGTCCCTGGGTTCAATCTCTGGTACCAAAACAAAACAAAACAAAACAAGAAGCTTAATTCAATAGATTCAGACAAATGATTTAATAAAATCTAACAACTATTCATGGTAAAAATTCTTAGAAAACAATAATTAAAAGGAAATCTCCTTAACTTGATAAAAACTATTTACCAAAACTAAAAAAAAAAATACGACACTTATTGGAAAACTATTAGAAGCATTCTTAAGATTAAGAACATATGCCAAGGCTGGGCTTGTGGCTCAGTGTTAGAATGCTTGCCTAGCCTATGTGAGGAGGCACTGGGTTCAATCCTCAGCACCACACAAAAATAAATAAATAAAGGTATTGTGTCCATCTATAACTAAAAATATTAAAAAAAAAAAAAAAGGGCTGGGGATGTGGCTCAAGCGGTAGTGCGCTCGCCTGGCATGCGTGCGGCCCGGGTTCGATCCTCAGCACCACATACCAACAAAGATGCTGTGTCCGCCGAGAACTAAAAAATAAATATTGAAATTCTCTCTCTCTCTCTCTCTCTCTCTCTCTCTCCTCTCTCTCTCTCTCTCTCTCTCTCAAAACAAACAAACAAACAAAAAAACACATGACTGCCATGGTTAAACCTGCCTGCATTCCCAGGTACTTGGGAAGCTGAGGCAAGAAGATCATAAGTTTGAGACCAGCCTGGGTAGCTCAGCAAGACTCCATCCCAAAATAAAAAATAAAAAGGCTGGAAATGTAACTCAGTGGTACAGCACTTGCCTGGCATGTGTGAGACCCTGGGTTTAATCTCCAATAACACACACACACACACACATACATACACACACACAGACCAAGAACATGTCAATGATCAATGATGTCTGCTTTTATTGCTTCTATTCCATGTTGTACTGGAACACGTGGATATTAATGCCATTATAGCAAGTAAAACAAATTGAGGAAAACCAGAATGGAAGATACAAACTGCCTTTATTCACAAATAACATAATTATCTGTATAGAAAATCTGAAAGAATCCATAATCAAATTATTAGAATTAAGAAAAAAGGAGGGGGCTGGGGATGTGGCTCAAGCGGTAGCGCGCTCGCCTGGCATGCATGCGGCCCAGGTTCAATCCTCAGCACCACATACAAACAAAGATGTTGTGTCCACCGAAAACTAAAAAATAAATAAAATATTTAAAAAAAAAAAAAAAAAAAGAAAGAAAAAAGAAGGGCTGGGATTGTGGCTCAGAGGTAGAGCACTCGCCTAGCGCGGGCAGGACCCGGGTTCGATCCTCAGCACTACATAAAAATAAAGACATTGTGTTGTGCCCACCTACACCTAAAAAATAAATGTTAAAAAAGAAAAGAAGAGGAGGAGGAGGAGGAGGAAAAAAAGGGAGCTGGACGTGGTGGTGCACATCTGTAATGCCAGTTACTCAAGAGGCTGAAGCAAGAGGATCACAAGCAGGAGGATCACAAGCCTCAGCAACTTAGCAAGACCCTAAGCAACTTAGTGAGACACTATCTCAAAATAAAAAATAAAACGGGCTCAGGATGGGGCTCAGTAATTAAGTGCCCCTGGGTTCAATTCCTGGTGCCCCCCACCTCCCAAAAAAAGAAGAAAAGTAAGTAAGAGGCTGGATACAGTATCAATATACAAAGTTAACTTTTCTGTATAAAATAGAAAAAGCAATTTTTAAATTGTTGTATTTAAGAAAAATTTACAATAACAATTTTAAGAAGAAAAAGAGCAAGGTAGGGTATCACATTATTAATACTCAGTATACTAAAAGTTGTAGAAAACATATTGTGATACTAGTGCAGAAATAGCCAAAAAGACCAATGTAACAGATGAAAAAAACTAGAAACAAGCCAGCATATACATAAATATTTAACACACAAGAGATGTACTGCTGATTTATTAGAAAATGATAGATTAAATAAAACATTGACCTTACCTATCTAGATGCAAAAAAAATAAAATTAGAACCACATTTATACCACATACAAAAATTAACTAAAGATAATTTGGCAATCTCAATGTTAAAAGCAAACTTTCAACTTTTAAAAGAAAAATACATTTTCCCAAAATGGAGAAGAAACAAAAGCACTTACTATAAAGGTAAGATAATACATTCAACTACATTAAAATGTAAAATTTGGGGGCTTCAAATCATCAAAAAGAATGCAAAGTTTCCATTGCCTGGGTAAAAATATGTGCAAAGCATATAACCAGCAAACCCTTTATATCCAGAATAGATAAAGAATATAATAAGGAAAAGACTAAAAATCCAATGCAAAGACAAAAAATATGAAAAAGTATTTCTCAGAAAAGAAAATCCAAGCAGCTAGGAAATATCAAAAAGATATTCATCTCAGTTGTAATCAAGAAAATTAAGCAACAAGCTCCATTGTTTTTATACTATTTACTATTTAATTATATGGTTTATTAAAGTGAGATAAGAGTCAATATAAAGCTTGTCCTCTCATTTCTACCAGTCAAGGTTTCATGAAAATTTACCTGCAAAATTAGCAGAATGTTTTTAAACAGTATTTGAAATAAACAGATCACATTGAAACACTTATTTTTTCACATAAAGAATACAGTCCTAAAATATGGAAATATGTCTATACAATCAGAAATTAATTCTATAGCCCAATATTCTGACTGCATCATTAGAGTATACATGTTTCAATCTAAAAGCCCATATTAATTATTAATTACGAATTATATTAATATTTTCAGTGATGCCAGATGAGAACCATCACAGTCCTTGTAGAGTATCATTTGAAAACTTTTAAAATTATCTGTTTTTTTCTATGCTCCTCTGTGCTCTTTTGCTAATATAGCTTTCAGTATGACTATTTTTTTAAAAAACTCACAAGAGATGAGATAAAGTACTATTTARTTTTACTTTACTTATTTTATTTACTTTTTAAATTACTGCACTCAGAAAAGGTTCAAAGAGACACATATAGCTTAAAAGTTAAGCAAAATAACCGTACCTCACAATGCTGGCGAGAAGCTTGAATTTCACATTCATATTTGTTCTTTACAGATTCTAAGCAGAGCTCTCTATAGATTCCTGCAACAAACACAATTACTCTGATTATGTTAGCTATAAAGAGTTTCATTATTACTTCCCTACAGGAATTCAGTCCTCACCATATTTTAGAAGATGGATCAACAAGAAATTAATAAGCAGGCACATATCTGTGATCCCAGTAACTCAAGAGACTGAGGCAGGAGGATCACAAGCTCAAGGCAAGACAGGGCAACTTACTGAGGCCCTGTCTTCAAATAAAATAAAAGGGACTGGAGGTTGTAGCTCTGAAGTAGAGTGCTTCCCTAGCATGTGCAAGGACCTCGTTCAATCCCCAGTACCACAAGAAAAAAAAAAAGGAAAGAAAGTGAAAAGTGATTCTAACATTATCTTTAAAAACTAAAAATATAGCCAGGTATGGTGGCACACACCTGTAATCCCAGCAGCTCAGGAGGCTGAGATAGGAGGATCGCGAGTTCAAAGCCAGTCTCAGCAAAAGCAAGGCACTAAGCAACTCAGTGATACCCCGTCTCTAAATAAAATACAAAATAGGGCTGGGGATGTGGCTCAGTGGTTCAATGTCCCTGAGTTCAATCCCCAGTACAAAAAAACAAAAAAAAAAAAACTAAAAATAAAAACAGGCTCATTTAAAATATACTCTAAGACAACTTACTAAGAGTTTAAGAACTAAAAAGAAACTGCAATGATAATTTTTGTTCTTACTCCATTCTTCTAAAGAATGCTCCTAAATGTTTCATAAAGAATTACCAAAATGAAAAATAAAATCCTTTTCCTATGAAAAACAATACCAGAATAAAACTGACCAAATTATACTGTTAAATCGAGTGAATGTATAAATATATAACAACAAATCACACTACTACGTGTAATTATAATGCACCAATAAAAAAACAATGGGGAAAAAATCCCTCAGGTTTCTCAAAATAGAGACAATAGACTCWGGTTTCATCAATTATATACATTCAAAGTAACAGCTAGATACTATTCCTCTCAAAAATCAATATTTTTAAGCTACTATTTAGTTTCAGAGTCTTAGAGAATTATATGTATAAACTGTTAAAATAAAATCCATGATGTTCACAGTACTCCTGACAGGGCTTCACCTGGATGACTGAAGCCCAAGAATATTTAACTTATAGGTAACAAGAAAATAGTACAAAAAAGGAAATAATGGCCATGCAAATATGCCATCACAAAAATGTGAAGTGAAGAACTCTGGATGTCTATACTAAGCTCTAAGACATTGTTTGCCCTAGAAATGTAATTATCCCTTTTTGTATAGTAAAGACAGGAGATAGATACTGATACTATACCATTAACAAAACATTCACACATACTACTATTTACAAAATCAAAAAGTAAGGAAAGCCACAGAGTAGAAAAGTGAACAGTTCATTAAAGTAATATTTCCTGATCATCCATTTAGGCTAAAACAATGTCAAAAGAAAATGAGGAACATTTTACTTTTAAGGGTAAGCCAAGTCAATATGAAAAGATAACAGGTTAATTATCATATATCATCTACATAGTTAATATTAAGATCTAAAGAATAAAATTTAGTTTAAGATGGGTTTAGAATTTATTTTCAACAATGCTTAGGTATTATTTAACAGGTACATGAGGATTAATTAGCATCCCCCAAAAGAAAACCAATTGACATCTCCATTAATTAAAGTTCACTTTTTAGTTTCACCATGAAAAAATTATAAGTTTTTTKTTGTTGTTGTTTTTGTTTTGTTTTTGAGATGGGATATTGCGGGTCAAAATTCCCAGGCTGGAGTGATCCTCCCTGCTTCACTCTTCGGAGTAGCTTGGACTACAGGTACATGCCACCAAGCCCAGTGCCATAGTGATCTTTCAGTGCATATATCCCTTGATTATGAATACTAGGACTCAACACTGAGACTAGATCCCAATTATAAACAGACTGAATTTTAACCATACAAATATAGTACATCTTCATTTATTCACAGCCACAAATAATTAATCAAACTTATCAAAATTAAAGTCATTAAATTATCTGGTTGAGGGCTAATTTCCTATTCTATAATATCTTGATCAAACATTTTAAAAAATGCTTTTATAGTTAAAAAAAATCTACTACTTGGAAAAGTTSAGGCAGGAGGATCACTTGAATCCAGGAGATTGGAGCCAGTATGGGCAACATAGTGAGACCCCCATCTCTTAAAAACCAAAATAAAAATAATAAAAATCCTTCTCACTCTTACAGATTAAAAAGTATCAAGAGTACTTAAACTCTATTTCACAGGGAATTAAATTGTGATAGTAACAATATTTTTAATCAAAGTATCTTGGTCCAGTTTCTCCACACATAGACAGTATCTTTTCAACAACATTGTGAGTGACCTAAGAGTTTTTCATTGTTTTTAAATCCCCCACAGCAGCCCACAAGAGGTTAACAAATAACTGAGTCAACAATTAATTTAAATATATGTGCAATTTAATGTAAACATGCAAGTATATCTGTAATCCTATCCACGTGTAAATATATTTGTGATCCCATCAACAGCAAACACTTCACAAACACCTTTAAAGCTAAGAAGTGTAGAATCTGCTATATGGAAAAAAATATTTTACTTTCCTACCTGCTACCTTTGTACGAATTTGCATATTTTCTTGCAAAGTTGCCAGTGGTTCCAAATATTCTGGTGCTTTTCCAGCTATGACTTCTTGCAGTTTCGCATCCACCTGACTTAATCGTTCTTTATAAAGTCTTAACAAAGCAAAAATTAAGATGTTAATTTAAAAATTCCAACAAAGGCCAAAAATCTGCTGCTCCTATACATTATTTCTTCTTAATGTCATTTATATTCTAAGAACCTATATCAAATGTATTATTGCCTTAATCTCAAGTGGAGAATTCAATTATATTATTTTACTCCATGCATATAATGATAAGATAGAAATCTATGATTTTTTATAAGTATCACTCTTAAATTGTCAACTCACTGAAATTAACAATTCACTGAAATACAACTGAAAGCCAGGGACATTGGCAGACGCCTGCAGTCCCAGCTACTCAGAGACCAAGGCAGGATGATTGCTTGAACACAGGAGTTCAAGGTCAGCCTGAACAACACAGTGATACCCATTTCAAAAAATGACAACAAAATTTGAAATAACTATATTAGGCACTCTTAATTTTTGTTTTTAATTGAAAAACAAACCAATTCTAAGAGAAAARGTCAATTAAACACCAAAAAACAAGGAAACCATTTGAGTAATTTAAATAGAGACATTACTAGTTGTCAAATAATTCCCTGGCTTCTCTCCAGTTTTCCTGAAAAGAACTCAGTATGATATTTAGCCTACTTAATTTTTTWAAAAGAACAGAAGAATTCAAGTGATGAAGGAAAGGCAATGAATGACTTTAGAACCTATGCTCTGGCCCTGTACAGTGGTATGCCCCTGTAATCCCAGAGACTTGGGAGGCCAAGGCAAGAGGCTCACAAGTTCAAAACCAGCCCCAGCAACTTTGCAAAGTCCTGTCACAAATTAAAAAATAAAAAGCTTCAGGGATGTGGCTCAGTGGTTAAGTGCCCCTAGGTTAAAAACTCAGTACTCACAGCCCGTCCCCACAAAATAACATGTGATAAGGCATACCCAGTTCATCTCAACTACAAATGAAGAAGCTTTAACAAAATAGCTGCTCAATGAAATGAAAAATGGGGATGGAGCAGGGAGTTCCTGTTGCTCCTATTTATGAGTCTACTTATAGATACTTCAATTTGCCAGCTGTCACAATACTTTAGTTTGATTATCAAAGACTGATCATGTAAGACAATTCAGTGTTTATTTTTGGCAATAAATATACTTCAAAAATACTTAAGAAGGGAGATTATGGTACCCTGTACTAATTTCCAAAAGAAATCACTAACTATTCTTGTAGGTATTAGTATCACCAGCATTTGGCTTTTGAAAAAATTCGGGAACCTAGCTTTCATATTAAGTTCTGCTCTTCCTTCTTGAAAATATAAATCAAAACAATTAAGACAATCAATATTAATTATCTATCATTGACCATTATAATTAGTATAATAGGCAAGGCAAGTTTGAATGTTAATGCTATAATAACTCTTTTTTAGTTTTGTGGTCCTTTAGCAACCACAATATTATTAAGCAAATAATTGCCAAAATAATACATTATCATGTCTGAGTCAAATTTTTCCAAAATTGAAGATACAATGATAAACAAATGTATAAAGTCAAGAAAGTACAACATGATACTTATTTTTTTGAAACTATAACAACTACAGGGAAAACAACAAAAATTTTGATAGTCTCCAGTCCCATCCATTTACCAGCAAATGCCATAATTTCATTCTTCCTACAGTTGAGTAATACTCCATTGTGCATATGTACCACATTTTCTTTATCCATTCATCTATTGAAGGGCACCTAATTTGGTTCCACAGTTTAACTATTGTGCATTGAGGTGCTATGAACATTGATGTAGCCACATCACTATAGTATGCTGATTTTAAGTCCCTTGGGGATATGCCGAGTAGTCGGGTAACCGGGTCAAATGGTGGTTCCATTCCAAGTTTTCTGAGGAATCTCCATACTGCTTTCCAGAGTGGTTACACCAATTTGAAGTCCTATCAGCAATGTATGAGTGTGCCTTTTTCCCCACATCATCGCCAACATTTATTATTTGTATCCTTTTTTTTTTAATTTTTAATATTTATTTTTCAGTTTTCGGCGGACACAACATCTTTGTTTGTATGTGGTGCTGAGGATTGAACCCGGGCCGCACGCATGCCAGGCGAGCGCGCTACCGCTTGAGCCACATCCCCAGCCCTATTATTTGTATTCTTAATCACTGCCATTCTGACTGGAGTGAAATGGAATCTCAGTGTAGTTTTAATTTGCACTACTAGTGATGTTGAACATTTTTTCATATATTTGTTGACCATTTGTATTTCTTCTTCTGTGAAGTCTGTTTAGTTCCTTAGATTATTTATTGATTGGGTTATTTGTTTTTTGATTTTAAGTTTTTTTCAGTTTTTTGGAGATTAATGCTATATCTGAGGTGCAGGTGACAAAGATTTTATCCCATTCTGTTGGCTCTCTCTTTAAGTTCTTGATTTGTTTCCTTTTCTGTGAAGAAGCTTTTTAGTTTGACACAATCCCATTGATTCTTGATTTTACTTCTTGTGCTTTAGGAGTCTTGTTGAGGAATTCAATTCCTAAGCCAACATGACAGAGATTTGAACCTACTTTTTCTTGTAGTAGGTGCAGGGTCTCTGTCTAATGCCTAGGTCTTTGAGTTTTGTGCAGGGTGAGAGAGAGGGGTCTAATCATTTTATTCATATGGATTTCCAGTTTTCCCAGCACCACTTGTTGATGAGGCTATCTTTTCTCCAATGTATGTTTCTGGGACCTTTGCCTAGTATGAGATAACTGTATTTATGTGGGTTTGTCTCTGTGTCTTCTATTCTGTAACATTGGTCTTCATATCTGTTTTGGTGCCAATACCATACTGTTTTTGTTACTAGAGCTCTGTAGTATAATTTAAGATCTGGTATTGTGATGCCTCCTGCTTCACTTTTCTTGCTAAAGATTGCTTTGGCTATTTTGAGCCTCTTATTTTTCCAAATGAATTTCATGGCCACTTATTCTATTTCTTGAAAAATGCCACTGGAAGAATGTAGTTGTTTTTTGTTTTTAATTTTATTTATTTTAGTTGCTGATGGACCTTTATGTTTTATTTATATGTGGTGCTGAGAATCAAACCCAGTGCGTCACACATTCAAGGCAAGTATTCTACCACTGAGCCACAACTCCAGTTCCCAATGTAGTTGTTTTTTAATGTGCATTTCCATCTATCCTATGTTCTATCAAATCATGGGAATCCATTCTTCTGTTGCCAATCTCACATAAGAGTTCTGGCATTAGAACAGGAGGTTAAAGGTTAAAAAACAGTATCTAGTAAGTACCTACCACAAGCCAGGCAAACAAACAACATTGCTTCTCATTCCTCACAATAGATAATAAGAACTCCATGATTATCCCCTTTAAATCAGTCAAAAAAGCATAGATTCAGAGCTTTTGTTTTTTCTACTCTACCACATTTCCTCCAAAATAATATGCTTTATGTGAAAGGAACACAGTACCACTGAAAGGCAAAAACCAGGCTTCATTCATCACTTTCTGATAAATTATACAAAGCGGTTAACCTCTCTAAGCCTCAGTTTTCTCACAGGTAAAACAGAGATAAGACTATTAAATCTTTCAACCTTACAGAGTAGCTGCAAGAAGCTAAATAACACATATAAAACATGTAATGTACATATTATCAAATGTAAGATAGAAACAAAATGACTTCACCAGACAGAGAATATTTGGGAAATATTCTATTTTATTCTCAATTTTTAAAAATGCTATCTTTAGGGATTTATTCAACAAAGGAATGAATGAAACAGATTAGAACCAAAGGTGCAAAAACCCATGGAAAACATTTTAATCACTGATATCCACACAGAAATCTTAAAACTCTACTCCACCACCCAAAAAAAAAAAAACCTGCCTCAAAACCCTCAGCTTAGTTAATGAGGTCTTTGGCAGGTAAACAATAGTTGAAGCCTCTCTTTCAGAACAGCCAGTCCCATAAAACACAAAAGGCAAAAAGTTGAAACAATGTAATTGCTCTCCCACTGGTATATATGTGACACATTTGAGACTCAGTGACAATGACCTTCTGAAATCACTACTTACTGATCTTTGAGATCTGTAAACTGTTTTTCAAGATTGGACATTTCATCTAAACATTCCATTCTTCTTCTTTCACAGTCTTCGTCATCCATTTCTGTTAATTTAAAAAAAAAAGCAAATATCAAAGATAATATTGTGTTACAAATATATCTGAAGTTAATTCAAAAAGAAAAAAAAAAGCAGCTGGGGGTGGTGGCAACTCTGTAGGTTAAGGCAAGAGGATCACCAAGTTTGAGGCCTGCTCAGCAGCTTAGTGAGACACTAAGCAACTTAGGAAAACCCTCTCTCAAAATAAAAAAAATCAAAAAGGGCTGGGGATGTGCCTCAGTGGCAAAGTGTCACTGAGTTCAATCCCTAATACCAAAAAAGGGGAAAAAAAGTAACATGAAGTTGATGTGCAAGATCTATATTAAGCTTTAAGAGAAAATAAACATTTATCCAAAATATTTTCCACTACAGAATTAATCTAAAATAAAGAAGAGAGTTTTAACTAAAGTGATCTCTACACTTTATGTTTATTCATTTTAATATTATGTCAAAGGACTTACTGTAAGCTACGACTATAAAGTAATCAACCCACTTTTGGTGTGTTCTCCACAACTCAATCAGAACTTAGCACCAAAAAATGATGTGTCCTTAAAAGGTTAACACTGATCAAACATACTTCTGGAGTTCTTCCCTAAGAACTGCTCACATAGCTGATTTTCCAATCACATAAGAAAGAAAACTAGCCAGCGCCTGTAATCCCTGCTACTCAGGAAGCTAAGGCAAAAAGATCAAAGTTTAAGGTCAGCCTGGACAACTCAGCAAGACCTGGTCTCAAAATAAAAAGGATTGGGGATATAGTTCAGTGGATACAGTGCCCCTGAGTTTAATTCCCAGTACTGGAAAAAAAAAAAAGAAAACTAATCTCATTATGTTTACCATAAGTTATCTTGGACTGATACTCATGCTCCCACTGTGTCCTCTTCCCAAATTTCTGTCAGTGAGAAAGAGGCAAATGAGGAAAAAACAAGCAAACTTTTTTATGGAAAACAACTGTTAGTTACCAGGTCTGTCCTATATTTCACATCTTTATTTTTATACCACATATATTCAACACTAAATGAATCAAAATAAATGAAGCACAAACTTATGTGCATCTTAATATTCATCAAAATAATGTTCAAAATATGAGAGTTAAATTGTTTTCAGTTATTTTCATACAGCAAGTATATGATTCCTTTTAATTTTCTAAAAAAGATTTATAATAATTCTGGTTTTTAATAGCTTACTCCTTGGCTATTTAAAACCTGGTCCCTCGGGGCTAGGGTTGTAGCTCAGCAGTAGAGCACTCATCTAGAACGAGCGAGGCCCTGGGTTCGATCCTCAGCACCATATAAAAATAAATAAAGATATTGTGTCTAGTTACAACTAAAAAAAAAAAAAACCTGGTCCCTCAAGATGACTCACTTCCCAAATTCTTTGGTTAGTCGMGGCTTCTCTGTAGCCTTAGGATCTGCTCAGTACCAAGGTTTGAGAAAAATAGAACTGGAAGTTTAACATGCAAGATGTCTGGTAGAACAATTTTACAAGAAGGAGAGCTGAAAAATGTACTTAAATAATTTCTCTGCAAATAAAAAATCTGACTTGTAGATCAATGTGGTGATGCGCACCTGTAATCCTAGCTACTTGGAAGGCCAGGGGGCGAGGACTGCAAGTTTGAGCCCCACTTGGGAAGGTTGCAAGACCCTGTCTCAAAAAATAAAAAAGGTTAGGGGTGTAGATTGGTCGTAGAACAACATGAGTTCAATCCCCACTACCAAAAAAAAAAAAAAAAGATTGTTTTTTAACTTGTAGTTCAAATTATCATTATAATTCTCACTAATTGCATTGTTTATTATTCTCTAAAATGAGATTTAAAATAAGTTAAAAATCACAACAAAAATATAAAATAAGAGTGGAAGAATTTTAACAAATAAAAATTTTGTGAGATCCTAGTAACTAATAAAAAAACAAAGAATGGGGCTGGGTTTGTGGCTCAGTGGTAGAGCATTTGCCTAGCACATGAAGCCCTGGATTCAATMCTCAGCACCACATAAAAAATAAATGAACAAAATAAACTACTTAAAAAAAAGTTACTTCATTTAAAAAAAAAAAAAAAAGAATGGGGCTAGGGATGTAGCTCAGTAGGATGTAGGGTGGAGCACTTGCCTAACATGTATARGACCTTGGGTTTAATCCCCAGCATTGAAAAAAAARTTAAATAACAAAAGTAAAGAATACTTGAAAATAAAATGCTTTCCAGATCTAGGAAACAAATTCAAACAATCTAGATGTTCTTTCTCTATATTCCCCACTTTTGAAATCTTACCTACTTCCATGTCTATGTAAATGACCTTAGAATTATTTTTCCCATTCTAGGCAGGTTCCAACACCTTTCAGCACTTGTCAGTTTGGGCATTCTTACTTAAATATACCACAATCCTCTCAAAAGGAAGATGCCTAAAATTCTTTACCTTTCATCTTCATTCCAAATGTTTTGCATTTCTATTTCTGTTGATGTTACAACCATTTTCCTTATATCTGGGTTTTTCTTAACTTTCACTCCTAAACTTGTATTTATCAATCCTTTTTTATGCCTTCTTTGAAATCTTTCACACCTATACCTTTCTTTTTCTTTTCCTGGTTCAAGTTCTTCTCCTAACCAAACTGGTTTTCTCACTCTTTTGAATAAATCCTAATCTCTTCCCTTTGCACTTGCACTTACATTCTTTGTCTGATAGGAACAATAGAACATTACTCCCCCCAATTCAAACTTTACTCATTCCTCAAGATAATTAAGGTAACCCCATCTTCTTCAACTAGCCTTTGCTGACCGCCCAGCTCTGAAAATATTTACTCTGCCTCTGAATTCCTACCTTATTGTATATAGCTGAGCATTCATCTGGCAATTTAATCTAATTGTGACTTATGACAGCTCTTTAAAGCCAGATCATAACTATTTATTTATATCTTATACAGGGTAGTGTCCTGGGCTGCACAAATAAGCCACTCATATTTATTTTTGAACAGCTGATATATTGATAGCAAGGACTGACATCCTCCCATGGAGATTTTCTGAAAAGCAAACCTGTAAAGAAGGCATGGGGTGATAATAGACTGTCATCAACCCACCATCAATGTTTCCCTTATGCAGCCAAAATTAGGCCAAGACACAGAAGTCAGTCTCAACCTAATTATACGGACAAACGGAAAAGAATCCAGATAATCACAAATTCCATTCCTTTTTGAATAACCATTTCTAAAAGTTTGTAAAATGTGTGTTGTTAATCTGCCCTATCCATCCACTCCCCCAAATCTGAAACAGCTCAAAGGTTAGAAAAGATTGAAGGAAAAGATTAAAGATTTCAACACTGCCCCAAATCAGTCTATGAAGATCTAAAATAACCCCAGATGTTGGTACCCTGCTCTCAGATTTGAAAACTTCAGGAAGATACTACAAACCGGACAGCTCCCAAATTAGCCCCAGAAAGAGCACTGGAATAAAGTGCGGATGACGGGCTGACTTGCAAGCGAAGGTTAATTAGTTCTAAATCAGCCACGGACCAATACAAATCTATCCCTAGCCCCGACAACCATCCACGCAGAGAAGTACGGGTTGCATGTGTGAAAATAAGGAAAGAAGTCGGTTGTCTGGGGACAGAAGGCATTTCCTCGGTCTTTCTGACAAGTTGCGGGGCGTTCCCCGCCCGGGCTCGTAGTCCCAGGGCACAGCCGGTAGTCCCAAGGGTGGGTCCCACATGGAGCAGGGTGGGTCCCACGTGGAGCAGGATGCCTCCACGTCTGAGAGMGGGGCGAGTCCAGGCTCGCGCCGCTCTGCCCCGAGGACTGGAACCTGCMCGGAGCCCGGCAGAGCCCCGCGACCGGTCCGGGTGCAGCCTGGGGCCAGGAGCCAGTCTCCGCCCCTTCCCTCTTTCCCCGCCCCGCTCTCCCAGAAGGACGCAGMCACCGGCGTGCGGAGAGCGGCCTGTCGCGCTCCCGGCTCAGCGACTCGGGTTCCCAGCTCCGCCGGGTCACGCACCTGAGCTATCTCCATCCTCAGAGACCGACGAGCTCTCAGTGTCCTCGTCCTCGGAGCTGCTCCCCTCATTTTCGGCGTAGTCCACCTCCATCTCATCGTGRTGGTTCGTCTCTTTCTTATCCCCTCGGGAATGGACCGGCATTTTCCAACCGCGCCGTCGCTTCCCACTCCCGGCGCCCAGCCCGGCCACCGCCGCTTCAATGAAGGGCGCGCGGAACGCCCCAACC